AATATCTGATTGAGTAAAGTAGACACAGCAATAAATACACCAACGTTCAAACCATAGGAATTACAAAGCATGATAAAGTTTTTGTTTCTGCAAAGCCCTTTAATCGGCTCCACGAATTCCTCTCTTTTCTTCATCCGATTCATTTTTTGCAATGCCCGTGTCTCGCTCGGCGGTAGTCTTGGTTCGTTCTGAAATACTGATACAAAAGCACATTGAGAAGATTAAAACGCGATAATTTTTCCTGGAGTGAGCGATCTTTAATTAATTAACGGTTTATCGTCCTTCTTTCGCTTCTCCTCTCTTTGTGTGTGATTATATAGCTGGAATAAATAAAAATAAAAACCCGGATAAAGGAATTGAGATTAAAGTGGATAGGCTGTATTGAAAAATTTCAGTACATTAAAAATTAGATAGATATATTGAAGGATAGTTTTTTTCAATTAATATTTAGAAGAGGTTACTTAGAACAATTATAAATGATCTGAAAGACACATTCAAATATCATTTACCAAAGTTAATACATTGCGTAGGTACATAAAAGTATAAATTTTATATTAATATAAAATACAAAAACAAAAAAAAAATACAAAAAAAAGTAATACAAATACATAATTTTGGTTCTTTATTATTTTATTAAGTTAAAAATTGATTTCCCATGTGTGGGAGAGTATAAAAAAATTAGAAAAACATTTTTTGCATCAGCTCAGATCTGTTTAATTTTAAATCAGAATTAAATATTTATATTATCGAACTATTACTTGTTTTATTAATAATAGATGATGAACTTACACGTAAGCACAAGAGCGAATGCAATTGTGCAGACGATTGCGACCATCCAGCATAAACGTGACAAATCTTTGCCGATATCATCCAAATTGTCATGATTTTTCACTATTATAGGCCCTAAAAGAAAACACAACGCCACTCCAAATTGATTGCCAAAAATACTCAAAGATGTGGCGGTCGAGAGTTGGGTAGGAGGAAACCATTGCGCGGCCAATCGTCCTGGTATTGGTAGCACTGTAGTCTGACAAAATAAATAAAATTAGTATTTTCTAAATAAATTGTAGAGAATATAGAGTAAAGATCTAACCATAAAAAAGGAGGAAAGAACAAAGTTGTAATAGTATCAAGATTTTTGATAGAGTAAATTAAAGTAAATTAAAAGATATAACCTGCGCAAGAGCGACTATTGAATGACCGATGATAGCAACGTAGAATCTATCGGGTTGAATGGACAATGTTTTTATCCAGGCACCAAGACAGTTAAGACCGGCGCCTATAGTGATAGTCCATCGCAGACCGCATTTGTCTGTCATGTACGACGCTGGAAATATAAATGCTATGTAAAATGCCATAAATGACATCGAGGTCCAGTCAACCATCATCGAAGACACTCCATAATACCTAAATAGTACATAAAAAAGGGCATTGACTTTTACATTCAAAATTGTTCTTATTTTGGGAAAAATATGATACCTAATAACTATGTTGGTTATAATCGAGTATTCTATCCATTGAGAATTTGATCCAGCATAAATCATGAAGATAATTAACATTAGCCACCTTTTTTTGTACACTTTCAATTTTAATTGTTTGACGTTGGTTGGTTCGCCAGACTCTATTATTTTTGTTAGATTTTTTTTTGTGAGTACTTCGCTCTGGCTTTTATCTTCCATTATTATTTTCACTCTCTTTTGCAAAATAAGTTCCGTAAAGTATAACTTTGATGTGTATCTATTTAAGTTGAAAAAATTTATATCCTATACTTTTAAATCTTATACCTATAAATTTAAATCCTATACTTTTCTTGAAATTCGTTTTGTGCAAAAGCATTTAGTTCTAAAATGCGTAGTATATATCAAATTGTACAATTTCATACTGTTAATTACACTATCAAAGACTGTCTTATTATAATAATGATCTTATGTAAGTGGCGCGATTTAGAATCGTATTTAACGTTACAAAATTCTTCACATTTCGTGAATTTGAAAATGACACAAGGATAAAAAGATTGGTATTGATTGAAATTGAGATGAAATGTAACTGCAAGTCATATAAGATTTCTATTGTACCGATATACTCGTTTAATATCACATGACAATTTACCTTATCTATACATGAACAAATAAAGTAATGTTATTAACTTGCAGATCTAAGAAGATTTATACTTAGTCTTATCACGATTTTTATCAGATTCAGAAATAGCACTTTTTTTCGTTTTTAAAACAACTGTAATATTATGTGTTATTTATTTTATTCTTGTGGTATTGAATAATTTACATGTATAGTGTAAATATAAAATGCATTACATTGCCATATAAAATGTGCTATTGCATTTTTGTTCAAGCAATTGGGAGACAAAAGTTTGATATAAATTATGCTGATGCGACTGTATAATTACAGCTATTTAAATTGTTTTTTATGATGAATTTATTTTTATGCTTATATATTATATAATAACTATAATTATAATAATTTTTGGTTACCAATTACATATTTGTTGATAGGATTATACATATAGTTACTATTACTAAAATTAGGTTTATCTAATTTTAGCTCCAGAATCAAAACGCAAAGCCAATGACGCAATAAATTCAATGTAAGACTTCGGGGACTATAAAGTATGATACGCATCTGAGCGTGTGACACTTATCAACACTTTACAGTTCTTGAAATTTTATATTGAATCTTTTCGAAAAAATGACTTCACGTTTTTTTTCCGGAGCTCAAATTTTACAGGCCTGACTAATATTATAGTAATCAGTTCTTATTTCGTAATCTTATTTATAGTAATAATTATAATTATAACATCAAAACAGTTTATAATTAAAACATCAAACAGTTTTTCTCTCAATGCGTAAAATGAAATATTATACCAAAATGTAACTAGTACAATTAAGTAACAATTAAAATGAATTGATGACCATTTATAATTTCTAAAACGATAAATTATCAAGTTTTAATTTGAAATTATGCAAGAAACGTTGATTATTTTGTTAACGTTACTATGTGGTGTTAAATCTTTTTTTCTATCATATTGTAAAGTCAATCTTCTTGGAAAACTCTCATTCCGTTTTATGGTAGAGGTAATATGAAGGTATATTACTTGTTAGCAAAGAATTCTTTTTGTAAAAAAAAAAAAGAAAATTTAACATATGGTTTTTTTTTAAAAAGCAATGTGTAATTTTCATCTCGCACATACATTGTGAGATGAAGTTTTTTAACCATTTTATTATACTATATTAGTTAAGAAACATTAATAAAAATTAAAACATGAATGAAATGATATTGGTTTCAAAATTTATTAGTATTGAAAGATTAATAAGATTATTTGTAATAATTAAATAATGCTATAAGTTAATTGAGTCATTTCTGGAACGCCGTCGGTTTGCTTTTCAATTCTAGCGATTCTTTCAAATTGAGCTCTCTTTATTGCGTCTTGTCGTCTCTGCTTGTCTTTTGTTATAGCAGTCAAAATGAAACCGAGTAGCAAAGCCAAGCATAAGCAGATGTGCACCGGAATGTCGCCGTATATGTTCATTAATAATCCTAATGATGTAATCAGTATAATGCCGTAAATGCTGGTTGTTATGTTGAGAAGACCCGCAGGTATATTTTCCGACTCTGGATACGTAAATTCAGTGCACAAATCAAATCCCATTGCCAGATATCCCGACATAAAGTATCTATAACGTATAATAGAATGTAAATCCCCTAAGACTTTTGACAGATAATATTTAAAATTTATATATCAAATAAAATGTAATAAACAAGTTCCGAATGAATATGATTTTAAACTCTACAATTGTTTTTTATTACAATTTGTTTGATATATTGAAAAAAAAGACCTTAAAGACGTTAATAAAAACAGAGAGCAACAATTATATTTTACTAAATTATTAAAAGGTTAACTCGTTTTACATAATACATTTTTTGAAATATTAATATTTTTAATATGATCATAAATATGGATGTCAATATGTTACCCTAAGAAAATCGCCGACACGTATACCATCCATTTTATACCCATGCAAGTAAACACCGTGAATAATATTTGACCACAAAATGTAAGAAAATATACAGTCACGGCAGTTTGTCTGAAAATTGGAAATATAAATCGTTGCTAATATTTCCAGCGCATAATTTAGGATAAAATAAATTTAAATTGAGAAATATAATACATTAGAAATACATTAAATTGGGAAATAATTTGGAAAAATTAAATTTAAATTTAAATTTAAATTTAAATTTTTTTAGACAATTATAAATGTTTTTCTTACTTGTATTTATGCGTTTTATCAAGAATAATACCAAAACTGACAGAACCGATCATACCGGTAAGAATCATGATTAAGCCAATTCTACCTGCATCTTCTTCTCCATTCTAAAATATATTTGATATCTTACACATACATCTTTCTTTTAGATACGTATACAAAAATATATAAATATATATTTAGATATTGCTGACATTTTTTTTAATAATGTTCTGCTGCATCGAGATTCATTTGCTCACCTCAAAGTGTGCGAGGAATATCTGATTGAGTAATGTAGACATAACATTGAATACACCGATATTTAAACCATAGGAATTACAGAGCATAATGAAGTTTTTGTTTCTGTAGAGCCTTTTAATCGGTTCCATGAATTTTTCTCTTTTCTTCGTCCGATTCATTTTTTGCAATGCCCGCGTTTTGCTCGGCGGTAGTTTCGGTCCGTTCTGAAATACTGGTACGTAAGCACAGTGAGAAGATTAAAACGTGATAATCTTTCTGGGATGTGAGGGATCTTTAATTATTTCGCGGTTTATTGTTCTTCTTCCTCTTCTCTTCTGTTTGTGTGTGTAGTTACTCAGTTACACATAGGTACATGTAACATATTTAGGTGTAATTCCACAATATAATTATAACACACGTGTATTATATTACAGTTATATTATTGAATAGAAAATTACATTTAATAGATACATTTAATAGATATGTAACATGTGTTCATTACGTAGCTGTGAAAAATAAAAATTAAAACCCGGATAAAAGGAGACCTAAAATGATTATTAGCTTTATTAGAAAATTTAAGTTAACAATTTGATAGATATATTGAAAAGAAAGACAGTTTATTATAATTTTTTAAAAAATTAATATTTATAAGATATTGCTTCGATTTAATATCATTCATAAATGATTGTCAAATGATTGAAAAGATATATTCAAATCTCATTTACCAAAGTTTCAGTTAAAATTCTTCATTATTTTATTAAGTTAAAGAATGATTTCTTATGTGTGGGAGAATATAAAAAAACTAGGAAAATGTTATTCACATCAGTTCAGATCTGTTTAATTTTATGTGAGAATTAAACACTTATATTTATAAACTACTACTTGTTTCATTAATAGACGATGAACTTACACGTAAGCACAAGAGCGAATGCAATTGTGCAGACGATTGCGACCATCCAGCATAAACGTGACAAATCTTTGCCGATGTCATCCAGATTGTTGTGATTTTTCACTATTATAGGCCCTAAAAGAAAACCCAACGCTACTCCCAATTGATTGCCAAAAATACTCAAAGATGTGGCGGTCGAGAGTTGGGTAGGAGGAAACCATTGCGCGGCCAAGCGTCCTGGTAACGGCAGAATCATAGTCTAATATATAAAATGAACTAATTACTACTCTCTAAAAAATAAACATGGCACATAATATAAAGTAATATAATAATAATATATCCATAAAAAGGAGGATAGGAAAAAGTTATAACGATATCCAAATTTTCAGAGATTAATCAAATAATTTAAGAGATGTTACCTGCGCGAGTGCGACTATCGATTGACCAATAAAAACAACGTAAATTCTATCGGGTTGAATGGAAAACATTTTTATCCAGGTACCCAGACAATTAATACCAGCACCTATGATGATGGTCCACCGCAGACCGCACTTGTCTGTCATATACGACGCTGGAAAGATGAACACTGTGTAAATTGCCAAAAACAACATCGAGGTCCAATCAATCATCATCGAAGATACTCCATAATATCTAAATAATACACATAAAAGGCATTGACACTTTTACATTCAAAATTGTTCTTATTTTGAGGAAAATATGGTACCTAGTAATTACGTTGGTTATAATCGAGTATTCTATCCATTGAAAAGAATTTGATCCAGAATAAATCATATAGATGATTAGCATTAGCCACCTCTTTTTATACACTTTCAATTTTAATGGTTCGACGTCGATTGATTCGTCAGACTTTATTATTTTTATTGCATCTTTTATTGTGAGTACCTCGCTTTGGCTTTTATCTTCCATCATGTTACAATATTTTTACTCTATTGCAAAATAAGTTTCGTATACTATATCTTTGATGTATGTTTATTTAAATTGAAAGAATATACACTTTCAATTATACACTTTTCTTAAAATATTTTTTCAATAAGTGTAATAATATTGTATTTAATTCTGGAATTCTTAGTATCAAATCAAATTGTACAATTTTATAACATTACACTATGAAAGATTTTTTATCATATCTTAAATAACAATGTTATAGGCGACGCAATTTAGGATCGTATTTAAAAAATTTTTTACATTTCGCGAATTGATTTTGACGCAACGATAAAAGGATTGGTAAAATTGAGGTGGTGTTGACTGAAATTGAGATGAAATGTAACTGTGCGTTGTGTAATATTTCCGATGTACAAATACACTCGTTTAAATCGATAAACTTACCTTATCTGTACATGAATTATCTGTACAAATAAAACATTATTAGCGTAAAGCTTTAAAAAAATTTGTACTTAGTCTTAACAAGATTTTTATCAGATTCAGAAACTGTGTTTTTGTACGATTTTAAAAAAACAATTATATGATAGTATGCGTTATTTCATTTATATAGTACTGAACAATTTGCACGCACAGTATAAGTAAAAGTTCATTACATTGTAACAAACATGTGTGCTATTGTATTTTTGTTCAAGCAATTGATCACGTTAAGAGAAAAGTTCTTTGTAAATCACGTAATGCCTTACGACTATATAATTATCTAACTATAATTATATAGTCGTAAGGCATTACGTGATTCTTTAAATCATTTTTCATAATAATTTTAATATCATTTTTATAATTATAATAACTATAATTATAGCCATTTCTGGTTGCCAACTGTATATATGTATATTGTATACATGTATTGTATATATGTATATTGATTTAAAACTACACATATAGTTATTATTAACATTATAGTAGTTGTAATCATAATTATAATAATACATAATTATAGTTACAAATAATTTACCTCTCAATACGTGAAACGAAATATAAATAATAAGAATAAAATAATAAGAACAATTAAGTAAAAATGAAGATAAAAAATTGATGATGATTAATAATTTCTAAAAAAGGAGAATTTTCGTATATTTAATTTTAATGTTACGCAAGATTGATTAATTATTTCGTTAATGATAATATATGATGTTAAATTTGTTTTTTTTGCCATATTATAAAGATAATTTTGTAGGAGAAATCTATTTCCTTTTTATAGAAGAGGCAAAGTATCATGTTGTTGTTGGCAAGAGTTTCTTTTGTAAAAAAAAAAAGAACATACAGTTTTTTTAAAAGACAACGTCAAATTTTCATCTGTGCACGTAATGTGAGATTAATTTTTTTTTGTTATTTTATTGTAGGTAATATACTATTTAGAAGGTGAAACATCGATAAAAATTAGCACATAATTAAGATCATATTGATTTCAAAATTGATTAGTATTGAAAGATTTAATTTAATTTATTTATGACGATTAAGTAATGCTATAAGTAAGTTGATTCGATTCTGGAACGTCATCGTTCTTTTCAATTCTTGCGATTTCTTCGTATTGAACCTTCTTCCTCGCATCTTGTCGTCTCTGCTCGTCTTTTGTTATAGCGGTCAAAATGAAACCGAGTAACAAAGCCAAGCATAATCCGATGTGCACTGGAATATCGCCGTACGTATTCATTAATGATTCTAACGATATAATGAGTATAATGCCATAAATATTGGATGTTATGTAAAGAAGTCCCGCAGGTATATTTTCCGATTCTGGATACGTATATTCAGTGCATAAATCATATCCCAGAGCTAGATATCCCGACATAAAGTATCTGTAACGAATAATAAAATGTAATAGATATTATCTAAGATTTTTGACAGATAATTAGATATTTAAAATAAATAACAAATAGAATATATTAAAAAGAATTATTAAAAGAATATATTAAAAAGAAATAAATATGATAAAACTTTACAGCTGTGTGCTTTATATCACAATTTGTTTGATATGCATTGAAAAGAGAACTTTAACATTAATAAAAACAGTAAAAACAACAATTATAATTTACTAAATTGTTAAAAAATGAACTTCTATTGTTTTTCATAATTACGTAATTATTGTAATACATTTTTGAAATATTAATATAATATTTTTAATATGGGCACAAATTTGAATGTTAATGTTTATGTTTATATGAATGTTTATTACCCTAAGAAAGTCGCTGACACGTATACCATCCATTTTATACCCATGCAAGTAAACACCGCAAATAATATTTGACCACAAAGTGTAAGAAAATATACCATCACGGCAGTTTGTCTAAAAATTGAAAATATATTTAAATTATTAGTTGATGTTTCAAATGCATGATTTATGATAAAGTAAATTTAATTAAAATTTTTATGACAATTGCAAATGTTTTTCTTACTTGAATTTATGCGTTTTATCAAGGATGAAACCAAAACTAATAGAACCGGCCATACCGGTGAGAGTTAAGGCTAAGCCAATTCTGCCTGCATCTTCTTCTCCATTCTAAAACTCATGTGCGATCGTTAATATATCTTGCTCTTTAGATATATTTATAAAAATATATAAAAATATTTTCAGACATTATATTTTGCTGACATAAATTTAGAAATTTTATATATTTTTAAATATTTGTTCGAATTTCTCTCATTTTATGTTTGATCTGTTACATCGAGATTTATTTGCTCACCTCAAAATGTGCGAGGAATATCTGATTCAGCAATGTAGACACAGCATTTAACACGCCGATATTCAAACCATAGGAATTACAGAGCATGATGTAGTTTTTGTTTCTGCAAAGCCTTTTAATTGGCTCCACGAATTCCTCTTTCTTCTCTGTCCGATTCATTTTTTGCAGTGCCCGCGTCTCACTCGGTGGTAGATCAGGTTCGTTCTGAAATACTGATACGAAATATATTGAGACGATTAAATTATGATAATTTTTCTTCTAATTAATCTTTCTTTCTAATTAATCTTTCCTGGGATGTGAGTTAATTATTTTAATTATTTGATTTAATGGTTTATTCTTCTTCTTCTTCTCTTCTCCTTGTGTGTGAATTACCTAAGATAAATAAAAACCAAGATAAAGGATCTGAGATTAAAGAAATTAAGATTATCGACTGTACTGGAATATTGGTTTACGTTAAAAATTTGATAGATATATTGAAGGATAGCTGTTTTAATTGATAAGGGAATACTTCGGATTAACGGCTACTGATTATGAATGATTGTCTAAAAGACTCGTTTAAACTTTAGTTACAAAATGTGAACACATTACATACACAAAAATGTAAATTTTATATTAATATATTAATATATGTAATTCATAAATATAATTTGGACTCTTTATTATTTTATTAAATTAAAATTAAAGAATGATTATCTATTTGTGGAAAAGTATAAAGAAACTACAAAAATATTTTTCATATAAGGTTAAATCTCTTCCATTTTAGATAAGAATTAATCACTAGTGATCACTATTTATTCTATTAGTAGAGGAAAGTCGCTGATATTGACGTAGGTCTCCAAAAGTGACACCCCTTTATTTCTCAGAAACTAACTATTGCATATTTTATTAATACTAATAAAATCATGACCTGTTTAATTAAAGAAGTATAAATAATAATTCGTGTATATGGCTTGTTTCTATATCAAATAAGTTAAAAATGAATTCTACGAATGCAAAAATAAAATTCTTACGATTTTATTTTGCAAATTGCGTAGTTTAAATAATAGACTATATTATTGATAATATTACGTCTTTTAAATGCTTGTAATTTCCTAAATTAGTTTTATTTATATTATTTTTTTTCATAATACGATTTTCAAATTAAAAATTAAAATTGAGGTGCAGCGTAAACCGCTATATCTGTTTGTAAAAATAGATCATGAGGTAACTTAACCTTTATAATGTTACTTTAGTATCAAATAGCTCTTTTTCTATTGGAACCGAAGATAATTGTGCATATATGGAAAAATTCTTGAAAAATTCGCGTTACATATTTGCATCTTGCAGAACAACATAAAGTAAATATGCATGTAATTCAATAAAAATGTTTTATAACGAAGAGTGAAAAGATTCTGGAATATATCCTATATATTCGCTTGTATTTTAACAGATAATTCCTGTAAAAAGAAAAAGAATAGGAATACGTAGCATTACTGCCTACTGTCAGTTTTGAAGATTTTTGTCAAACGCTCATTTTTGCTTATCTTACGAAAAAATTAATTATTGCAAAATTGCAAACAGTATTAAAACTTATACTATCTCATAGAAAACATTTTTTAGTTTGTACTTGTGTTTTTAAAGTTTTATTTTTACCTTTTGTTTAAGAAATATTGTTTAAAAACAAAGTGATATCGGTGACTTTCCTCTAATGTGAATGTTAAACTTACATGTAAGCACAAGAACGAGTACAATTGTGCCGACGATTGCGACTATCCAGCATAAACGTGATAAATCTTTGCCGATATCATCCAGATTGTTATGATTTTTTACTATTACAGGTCCTAAAAGAAATCCTAATGCTATTCCCACTTGATTGCCAAAAATACCCAAAGACGTGGCAGTTGAAAGTTGGGTTGAAGGAAACCATTGTGCGGCCAAGCGTCCGGGTAACGGCAGTACCAAAGTCTAATATATAAAATGAACTGATTACTACTTTCTAAATAAATATAATATAAAGAAGATAGAATAACAACATAATCATAAGAAGAAGATAGAAAAAAAATTGTAATGATAACAAGATCAATATTTTTAGACATTAATCAAGTAATTTAGGAGATATCACCTGTGCGAGTGCGACTATCGAATGACCAATGAAAACAACGTAAAACCTATCGGGTTGAACGGACAATATTTTTATCCAGGAACCAAGACAGTTAAGACCAGCGCCTATGATGATGGTCCATCGCAGACCACATTTATTTGTCACATACGACGCTGGAAAGATGAACACCGCGTAAATTGCCAAAA